ATGCATTCACTCACATTAATTACTGCCACATTGGTAGTGTGCTCTTACCATATCCTGATGCATTCACTCACATTAATTACTGTCACATTGGTAGTGTGCTCTTACCATATCCTGATGCATTACCTCACATTAATTACTGCCACATTGGTAGTGTGCTCTTACCATATCCTGATGCATTCACTCACATTAATTACTGTCATAGTGGTGGTGAGCTCTTACCATATCCTGATGCATTCACTCACATTAATTACTGCCACATTGGTAGTGTGCTCTTACCATATCCTGATGCATTCACTCACATTAATTACTGCCACATTGGTAGTGTGCTCTTACCATATCCTGATGCATTCACTCACATTAATTACTGCCACATTGGTAATGTGCTCTTACCATATCCTGATGCATTTACTCACATTAATTACTGTCATAGTGGTAGTGTGCTCTTACCATATCCTGATGCATTACCTCACATTAATTACTGCCACATTGGTAGTGTGCTCTTACAATATCCTGATGCATTCACTCACATTAATTACTGTCACATTGGTAGTGTGCTCTTACCATATCCTGATGCATTCACTCACATTAATTACTGTCACATTGGTAGTGTGCTCTTACCATATCCTAATGCATTCACTCACATTAATTACTGCCACATTAGTAATGTGCTCTTACCATATCCTGATGCTTTCACTCACATTAATTACCGTCATAGTGGTAGTGTGCTCTTACCATATCCTGATGCATTCACTCACATTAATTACTGTCATAGTGGTAGTGTGCTCTAACCATATCCTGATGCATTCACTCACATTAATTACTGTCACATTGGAAGTGTGCTCTTACCATATCCTGATGCATTCACTCACATTAATTACTGTCACATTGGTAGTGTGCTCTTACCATATCCTGATGCATTCACTCACATTAATTATTGTCACATTGGTAGTGTGCTCTTACCATATCCTGATGCATTCACTCACATTAATTACTGTCACATTGGTAGTGTGCTCTTACTGTATCCTGATGCATTCACTCACATTAATTACTGTCACATTGGTAGTGTGTTCTTACCATATACTGATGCATTCACTCACATTAATTACTGTCATAGTGGTAGTGTGCTCTTACCATATCCTGATGCTTTCACTCACATTAATTACTGTCATAGTGGTAGTGTGCTCTTACCATATCCTGATGCATTCACTCACATTAATTACTGCCACATTGGTAGTGTGCTCTTACCATATCCTGATGCATTCACTCACATTAATTACTGTCATAGTGGTAGTGTGCTCTTACCATATCCTGATGCATTCACTCATATTAATTACTGCCACATTGGTAGTGTGCTCTTACCATATCCTGATGGATGCACTCACATTAATTACTGTCATAGTGTTAGTGTGCTCTTACCATATCCTGATGCATTCACTCACATTAATTACTGCCACATTGGTAGTGTGCTCTTACCATATCCTGATGCATTACCTCACATTAATTACTGTCATAGTGTTAGTGTGCTCTTACCATATCCTGATGCATTCACTCACATTAATTACTGCCACATTAGTAATGTGCTCTTACCATATCCTGATGCTTTCACTCACATTAATTACTGTCATAGTGGTAGTGTGCTCTTACCATATCCTGATGCATTCACTCACATTAATTATTGTCATAGTGTTAGTGTGCTCTTACCATATCCTGATGCATTCACTCACATTAATTACTGCCACATTAGTAATGTGCTCTTACCATATCCTGATGCTTTCACTCACATTAATTACCGTCATAGTGGTAGTGTGCTCTTACCATATCCTGATGCTTTCACTCACATTAATTACCGTCATAGTGGTAGTGTGCTCTTACCATATCCTGATGCATTCACTCACATTAATTACTGTCATAGTGGTAGTGTGCTCTAACCATATCCTGATGCATTCACTCACATTAATTACTGTCACATTGGTAGTGTGCTCTTACCATATCCTGATGCATGCACTCACATTAATTACTGTCACATTGGTAGTGTGCTCTTACCATATCCTGATGCATTCACTCACATTAATTACTGTCACATTGGTAGTGTGCTCTTACCATATCCTGATGCATTCACTCACATTAATTACTGTCACATTGGTAGTGTGCTCTTACTGTATCCTGATGCATTCACTCACATTAATTACTGTCATAGTGGTGGTGTGCTCTTACCATATCCTGATGCATTCACTCACATTAATTACTGTCATAGTGGTAGTGTGCTCTTACCATATCCTGATGCTTTCACTCACATTAATAACTGTCATAGTGGTAGTGTGCTCTTACCATATCCTGATGCAATCCCTCACATTAATTACTGCCACATTGGTAGTGTGCTCTTACCATATCCTGATGCATTCACTCACATTAATTACTGTCATAGTGGTAGTGTGCTGTAACTATATCCTGATGCATTCACTCACATTAATTACTGCCACATAGGTAGTGTGCTCTTACCATATCCTGATGCATTCACTCACATTAATTACTGTCATAGTGGTAGTGTGCTCTTACCATATCCTGATGCATTCACTAACATTAATTACTGTCATGGTGGTAGTGTGCTCTTACCATATCCTGATGCATTCACTCACATTAATTACTGTCACATTGGTAGTGTGCTCTTACCATATCCTGATGCATTCACTCACATTAATTACCGTCATAGTGGTAGTGTGCTCTTACCGTATCCTGATGCTTTCACTCACATTAATTACTGTCATAGTGGTAGTGTGCTCTTACCATATCCTGATGCATTCACTCACATTAATTATTGTCATAGTGGTAGTGTGCTCTAACCATATCCTGATGCATTACCTCACATTAATTACTGCCACATTGGTAGTGTGCTCTTACAATATCCTGATGCATTCACTCACATTAATTACTGTCACATTGGTAGTGTGCTCTTACCATATCCTGATGCATTCACTCACATTAATTACTGTCACATTGGTAGTGTGCTCTTACCATATCCTAATGCATTCACTCGAATTAAATACCGTCATAGTGGTAGTGTGCTCTTACCATATCCTGATGCATTCACTCACATTAATTACTGTCATAGTGGTAGTGTGCTCTAACCGTATCCTGATGCATTCACTCACATTAATTACTGTCACATTGGTAGTGTGCTCTTACCATATCCTGATGCATTCACTCACATTAATTACTGTCACATTGGTAGTGTGCTCTTACCTATTTCCTGATGCATTCACTCACATTAATTACTGTCATAGTGGTAGTGTGCTCTTACCATATCCTGATGCATTCACTCACATTACTTACTGTCACATTGGTAGTGTGCTCTTACCATATCCTGATGCATTCACTCACATTAATTACTGTCACATTGGTAGTGTGCTCTTACCATATCCTGATGCATTCACTCACATTAATTACTGTCATAGTGGTAGTGTGCTCTAACCATATCCTGATGCATTCACTCACATTAATTACTGTCATAGTGGTAGTGTGCTGTAACTATATCCTGATGCATTCACTCACATTAATTACTGCCACATAGGTAGTGTGCTCTTACCATATCCTGATGCATTCACTCACATTAATTACTGTCATAGTGGTAGTGTGCTCTTACCATATCCTGATGCATTCACTCACATTAATTACTGTCATGGTGGTAGTGTGCTCTTACCATATCCTGATGCATTCACTCACATTAATTACTGTCACATTGGTAGTGTGCTCTTACCATATCCTGATGCATTCACTCACATTAATTACCGTCATAGTGGTAGTGTGCTCTTACCATATCCTGATGCTTTCACTCACATTAATTACTGTCATAGTGGTAGTGTGCTCTTACCATATCCTGATGCATTCACTCACATTAATTATTGTCATAGTGGTAGTGTGCTCTAACCGTATCCTGATGCATTCACTCACATTAATTACTGTCACATTGGTAGTGTGCTCTTACCATATCCTGATGCATTCACTCACAATAATTACTGTCACATTGGTAGTGTGCTCTTACCTATTTCCTGATGCATTTACTCACATTAATTACTGTCATAGTGGTAGTGTGCTCTTACCATATCCTGATGCATTCACTCACATTACTTACTGTCACATTGGTAGTGTGCTCTTACCATATCCTGATGCATGCACTCATATTAATTACTGTCATAGTGGTAGTGTGCTCTTACCATATCCTGATGCATTCACTCACATTAATTACTGTCACATTGGTAGTGTGCTCTTACCATATCCTGATGCATGCACTCACATTAATTACTGTCATAGTGGTAGTGTGCTCTTAACATATCCTGATGCATTCACTCACATTAATTACTGTCATAGTGGTAGTGTGCTCTTACCATATCCTGCTGCATTCACTCACATTAATTACTGTCATAGTGGTAGTGTGCTCTTACCATATCCTGATGCATTCACTCACATTAATTACTGCCACATTGGTAGTGTGCTCTTACCTATTTCCTGATGCATTCACTCACATTAATTACTGTCATAGTGGTAGTGTGCTCTTACCATATCCTGATGCATTCACTCACATTACTTACTGTCAAATTGGTAGTGTGCTCTTACCATATCCTGATGCATTCACTCACATTAATTACTGTCACATTGGTAGTGTGCTCTTACCATATCCTGATGCATTCACTCACACTAATGACTGTCACATTGGTAATGTGCTCCAAAAAGAAGGGTTATACAACAGAATTCACACTCTATTTCCATATTATGCAAGACACCTGCACGACTGATTTTGAGAAAAATCTGCATGACGTCCCAGTCGGGGATTAGTGAAAAATAAATTGGTCACCGCCCGGCTAATGAACCTAAAAAATACCCTGAGATTTGCTGGAAAGAGAATGAACAAAATCTTTTGTGAAAGAATTCCTACTTGACAAATGTTTGAGACATGAACCAGTCTAATTTACACCACTGTTACTGTATCTGTGAGAAGATCTTACCTTGGGGTCCGTGGCAACACACGACAAACCCAGCACCGGGTAGGAACAGTCGTAGGCCAGTCGGTGCAGCAGCAGGGCCGCCGTGTCCCGGGGCACATACTTCAGCTCAGGACTGTCATCTTTGTTCTGCATAGTTCTCAGATTGAGCAGATGTAGGTCACACGGCAGTTCGTGTGAAATGGGTGTGAAGACCGGGTTGAGTGTGAGAGGTGGGGAGCTGGGTTTCTGGGGCATTACAAATATGGGCTGGGTCAGATGTAGGGACACCAGGTGTGCTACAAGGGTTGGGTAGCCCAGTGTCACGGTGGTACTAGCCTGAAACAAACACAATCATACACACTAGTATTGAATAATAGTCCCCTTGTCCAAGTGGTTCAAACTTGGAATGGAGTGTCAGTGTACTCTGCTTGATATGGAAGGCAGTAGGGCATAGTGTATCAATGAAACATTAGAAGAAACATAACAATCTTATGGTGACAAACATCCATCACCAGATTTGACACTGTAGTTCTAGGAATGAGAAAAACATTAAAAACAAATAAAGCCTCAAACCATAAAAGTAATCCACCTGTGTGTTCTTTGTTAATAATGAGCGAAAACACAAACAAAATCATATCCTATAATTATCCTAATAAAGTCTAATTTTTTTCTTATTTCTTGGTTGACAGATATATTTTTGAAAAATTCCTGGTAGGACAGTGGGGAAAAATGTACAATATTACAAACAACCCATTTGTTTTCTGTTTAGTAAATAATTTTCTGAATATATTGCAACATCATGTGAACATGTATCTTTGTCAAAAATGTCTTGTCAGTCTTGCAGTTTAACATACTGCTTAAGTCCCACATTTTAGGTGAGTGTGTCAGCACTTTAGTGTGCATTCATAGTAGTTTCGTATTTATTTGTATCTACTTTTTACAAATGTCATAAAAAATACGGATTTCTTAAAGTACAGTGAACAAATTGTAACAAACAATGTTCAGTATATTTGAAGTATACTGAACTGCAAAAGAAACATCACCATTGATAGATATATGAGAAACCGTTTTTGTCAAAACACTGTAAACATACTTAGAGACATATTAAAAAGATGAAACTTGGCAAAACTGATCATCAAGGTTGAAATTAAAGTGTCAAATATTCTTAAAGTGAAACACAACACTAGTCTCTGAGATAATGGCATCACAAGTCAGTATATCGTGTGTCCGCCATGTGCATTGATGACTGCCGTGCAATGTCAAAACATGGAATGGATGAGGCAGTTGATGAAGGCCATAGGCACTTGAGCCCGCAGTCTGAGGAATGCCTGATGCAGTTCAGCTGCAGTTGTCGGCCTTGGTTGGACGTCATTCAGCTGTCTATGAATTTCATCCCACAGGTGCTCAATGGGATTTAAATCGGGCCTGAGGGCAGGCCACTGCATGGTTCTGACGCCATTCTGCTGGAGGAAGTCTCTCATTGCTCTCTCAGTGTGGGCACGGGCGTAATCATGCTGAAACCCGTGGTTGCGGTGACGTGCCAAATGAGGTATGGCATGTGGTCTCAAGACTTGATCAATGTACCGAGCTGCTGTGACACCATTGCCTTTCCCTGGACCAATGTTCTGGAAGACCACAGGGCCGACCCTCTGTGCAAGACCAATTCCACCACACACCATGATGCTCGGACCCCCCCCCCGAGTCCCTCTCAACAACACAAACATCCGAATAACGTTCCCCATGTCGTCGCCAGACTCTCTCTCTGCCATCTGCTGTTGAGATATAGTAACCGCTCTCATCTGAGAAGGGGACTCTTCTCCACTGCTAGTGGCGCCAATGTTGGTGCTGTTGCCCACTTCAGATGGTCCCGGCGATGATGTGGTGTCAAAATGGGTCCTCGGTGTGGCCTGTGACAGTGGAGGTGTCTGCTCGTCAATCATCGACGCACAGTGTCCGCACTAATGTGTCGCTGATGTCCCCACGGTCTGTCGAGCAGTTTCCGCAGCAGTAGCAAAGCGATCTTGGAGATGCTGTCGCACAATCTGATGATCCTGACGCTGGGTGGTGACCCTTGGTCTTCCACTATGTGGTCGGTCATCTTTAGTGTTGGTGGTCTGGTACATTGCTGGAGCCTGTATATGATCCTTACGTGGACTTGAAATGCATTGGCTACTTGCCGGGCGGTTTGTCCAACTTGCAATCGTCCAAGGGCTTGGTGTCTCTGATTTCTTGTCAATCTTGGCATGTGGTAGCAATTCAATAACGAATGAATGTTATCCGATCTGGGTGGATTTTTATAGGGCAAGAAATAGGGGAACGCATGTGCATTTCAATTTGCATGGAACTCACATGCGTCTGGTTACCATGGCCATTGCCGTGATGCGTTTGGGTGATCGGTTTTATTGTCACTTGTTTGTTTTTTTTATCATCAAATTTCATTATTCCGGACGAGGTAATGTTAAATTTTAGAAACTTTGCCCCATATTACCCAGATATTTAAATGACAACTTTTCATGCACTGTTACTTGGGGTGACGTTTTTTTTGCGGTTCAGAATATATAGTCCTGATGGATGGATGGACAAACAACAAACATAATCACAGAAGCTTACTTAAACCATACAATTTTTTAGGAAACATCAGTTCTGACTAACCTCTTTAGATGATCTCCTGTTTTCTACCAGGAGTCTAAACCTGTTAGGGGTACGTTTGTTGTCCAACACACCCTGACCAAGTCCACGGTTGTCATCCTGGTTTAGCCGACGGTCCAAGATCACCTCCACAACACCTGCACAGCAACATCATGTTACATCACATCAGACATCACATCAGACATCACATCAGACATCACATCAGACATCACATCAGACATCCTCTGCTACATCCACTGCTTACCCTGTGTCAAATTCTCCTACATCCACTGCCTACCCTGTGTCACATTCTGCTACATACACTACTTACCCTGTGTCACATTCTCCTACATCCACTGCCTACCCTGTGTCACATTCTGCTACATCCACTGCTTACCCTGTGTCACATTCTGCTACATTCACTGCCTACCCTGTGTCACATTCTCCTACATCCACTGCTTACCCTGTGTCACATTCTGCTACATTCACTGCTTACCCTGTGTCACATTCTGCTGCATTCACTGCTTACCCTGTGTCACATTCTGCTGCATTCACTGCTTACCCTGTGTCACATTCTCTTACATTCACTGCTTACCCTGTGTCACATTCTCCTACATTCACTGCTTATCATGTGTCACATTCTGCTGCATTCACTGCCTACCCTGTGTCACATTCTGCTACATTCACTGCTTACCCTGTGTCACATTCTGCTACATTCACTGCCTACCCTGTGTCATATTCTGCTACATTCACTGCTTACCCTGTGTCACATTCTGCTGCATTCACTGCTTACCCTGTGTCACATTCTCCTACATTCACTGCTTACCCTGTGTTACATTCTCCTACATTCACTGCTTACCCTGTGTCACATTCTGCTACATCCACTGCTTACCCTGTGTCCCATTCTGCTACATCCACTGCTTACCCTGTGTCCCATTCTGCTACATACACTGCTTACCCTGTGTCCCATTTTCCTACATCCACTGCTTACCCTGTGTCACATTCTGCTACATACACTGCTTACCCTGTGTCACATTCTCCTATATCTACTGCTTACCCTGTGTCACATTCTGCTACATCCACTGCTTACCCTGTGTCACACTGGACACATTCTGCTACATACACTACTTACCCTGTGTCACATTCTGCTACATACACTGCTTACCCTGTGTCACATTCTGCTACATACACTGCTTACCCTGTGTCACATTCTCCTACATTCACTGCTTACCCTGTGTCACATTCTGCTACATCCACTGCTTACCCTGTGTCACATTCTGCTACATCCACTGCTTACCCTGTGTCACATTCTGCTACATTCACTGCTTACCCTGTGTCACACTGGACACATTCTCCTACATCCACCGCTTACCCTGTGTCACATTCTGCTACATTCACTCCTAACCCTGTGACACATTCTGCTACATCCACTGCTTACCCTGTGTCACATTCTGCTAAATTCACTGCTTACCCTGTGTCACACTGGACACATTCTGCTACATCCACCGCTTACCCTGTGTCACATTCTGCTACATTAAGTGCCTACCCTGTGTCACACTGGACACATTCTGCTACATCCACTGCTTACCCTGTGTCACATTTTCCTACATTAAGTGCCTACCCTGTGTCACACTGGACACATTCTCCTACATACACTGCCAAACTTGTGTCACATTCTGCTACATTCACTGCTTACCCTGTGTCACATTCTGCTACATACACTGCTTACCCTGTGTCACACTGGACACATTCTGCTACATACACTGCTTATCCTGTGTCACATTCTGCTACATTCACTGCTTACCCTGTGTCACATTCTGCTACATTCACTGCCTACCCTGTGTCACATTCTGCTACATTCACTGCTTACCCTGTGTCACATTCTGCTACATTCACTGCTTACCCTGTGTCACATTCTGCTACATTCACTGCTAACCCTGTGTCACATTCTGCTACATCCACTGCTTACCCTGTGTCCTATTCTGCTACATACACTGCTTACCCTGTGTCCCATTTTCCTACATTCACTGCTTACCCTGTGTCACATTCTGCTACATACACTGCTTACCCTGTGTCAGATTCTCCTATATCTACTGCTTACCATGTGTCACATTCTCCTACACCCACTGCTTACCCTGTGTCACATTCTGCTACATCCACTGCTTAACCTGTTTCACATTCTGCTACATTCACTGCTTACCCTGTGTCACATTCTGCTACATACACTGCTTACCCTGTGTCACATTCTCCTACATTCACTGCTTACCCTGTTTCACATTCTGCTACATTCACTGCTTAGCCTGTGTCACATTCTGCTACATACATTGCTTACCCTGTGTCACATTCTCCTACATTCACTGCTTACCCTGTGTCACATTCTGCTACATTCACTGCTTACCCTGTGTCACATTCTCCTACACCCACTGCTTACCCTGTGTCACATTCTGCTACATTCACTGCTTACCCTGTGTCACATTCTGCTACATACACTGCTTACCCTGTGTCACATTCTCCTACATTCACTGCTTACCCTGTGTCACATTCTCCTACACACACTGCTTACCCTGTGTCACATTCTCCTACATTCACTGCTTACCCTGTGTCACATTCTCCTACACACACTGCTTACCCTGTGTCACATTCTGCTACATCCACTGCTTACCCTGTTTCACATTTCACATTCTGCTACATCCACTGCTTAACCTGTTTCACATTCTGCTACATTCACTGCTTACCCTGTGTCACATTCTCCTACACCCACTGCTTACCCTGTGTCACATTCTGCTACATCCACTGCATACCCTGTTTCACATTTCACATTCTGCTACATTCACTGCTTACCCTGTGTCACATTCTGCTACATACACTGCTTACCCTCTGTCACATTCTGCTACATTCACTGCTTACCCTGTGTCACACTGGACTCATTCTCCTACATCCACTGCTTACCCTGTGTCACATTCTGCTACATTCACTCCTAACCCTGTGTCACATTCTGCTACATTCTTCTACATCCACTGCTTACCCTGTGTCACATTCTGCTAAATTCACTGCTAACCCTGTGTCACACTGGACACATTCTGCTACATCCACCGCTTACCCTGTGTGACATTCTGCTACATCCACTGCTTACCCTGTGTCACATTCTCCTACATTAAGTGCCTACCCTGTGTCACACTGGACACATTCTCCTACATACACTGCCTACCTTGTGTCACATTCTGCTACATTCACTGCTTACCCTGCATCACATTCTGCTACATACACTGCTTATCCTGTGTCACATTCTGCTACATAAATTGCTTACCCTTTGTCACATTCTGCTACATCCACTGCTTACCCTGTGTCACATTCTAATACATACACTGCTTACCCTGTGTCACATTCTGCTACATTCACTGCTTACCCTGTGTCACATTCTAATACATACACTGCTTACCCTGTGTCACATTCTCCTACATTCACTGCTTATCCTGTGTCACATTCTGCTACATTCACTGCTTACCCTTTGTCACATTCCCCTACATTCACTGTTAACCCTGTGTCACATTCTGCTATATTCACTGCTTACCCTGTGTCACATTCTGCTACATACACTGCTTACCGTGTGTCACAATCTGCTACATTCACTGCTTACCCTGTGTCACATTCTGCTACATTCACTGCTTACCCTGTGTCACATTCTGCTACATTCACTCCTAACCCTGTGTCATATTCTGCTACATACACTGCTTACCCTGTGTCACATTCTGCTACATCCACTGCTTACCCTGTGTCACATTCTGCTACATTCACTCCTAACCCTGTGTCACATTCTGCTACATACACTGCTTACCCTGTGTCACATTCTGCTACATACACTGCTTACCCTGTGTCACATTCTAATACATACACTGCCTACCCTGTGTCACATTCTAAAATATACACTGCCTACCCTGTGTCACATTCTGCTACATTCACTGCTTACCCTGTGTCACATTCTAATACATACACTGCCTACCCTGTGTCACATTCTAATACATACACTGCTTACCCTGTTTCACATTCTGCTACATACACTGCTTACCCTGTGTCACATTCTAATACATACACTGCCTACCCTGTGTCACATTCTAAAATATACACTGCCTACCCTGTGTCACATTCTGCTACATTCACTGCTTACCCTGTGTCACATTCCGCTACATCACCTGCTTACCCTGTGTCACATTCTCCTACATCCACTGCTTACCCTGTGTCACATTCTGCTACATACATGGCTTACCCTGTGTCACATTCTGCTACATTCACTGGTTACCCTGTGTCACATTCTGCTAAATTCACTGCTTACCCTGTGTCACATTCTGCTACATCCACTGCATACCCTGTGTCACATTCTCCTACATTCACTGCATACCCTGTGTCACATTCTGCTACATCCACTGCTTACCCTGTGTCACATTCTGCTACATCCACTGCTTACCCTGTGTCACATTCTGCTACATCCACTGCTTACCCTGTGTCACATTCTGCTACATTCACTGCTTACCCTGTGTCACATTCTGCTACATCCACTGCTTACCCTGCGTCACATTTTGCTACATCCACTTCTTACCCTGCGTCACATTCTGCTACATCCACTGCTTACCCTGTGTCAAACTGGACACATTCTCCTACATCCACTGCTTACCCTGTGTCACATTCTGCTAAATACACTGCTTACCTTGTATCACATTCTGCTACATTCACTGCATACCCTGTGTCACATTCTCCTACATTCACTGCTTACCCTGTGTTACATTCTGCTACATCCACTGCTTACCTTGTGTCACATTCTCCTACATACACTGCTTACCCTGTGTCACATTCTGCTACATTTTTCTACATCCACTGCTTACCCTGTGTCACATTCTACTACATACACTGCTTACCCTGTGTCACATTCTCCTACATACACTGCTTACTCTGTGTCACATTCTGCTACATTCACTGCTTACCCTGTGTCACATTCTGCTACATTCACTGCTTACCCTGTGTCACATTCTGCTACATCCACTGCATACCCTGTGTCACATTCTCCTACATACACTGCTTACCCTGTGTCACATTCTAATACATACACTGCTTACCTTGTGTCACATTCTAATACATACACTGCTTACCTTGTGTCACATTCTGCTATATTCAATGCTTACCCTGTGTCACATTCTAATACATACACTGCTTACCTTGTGTCACATTCTAATACATACACTGCTTACCCTGTGTCACATTCTGCTACATCCATTGCTTACCCTGTGTCACATTCTGCTACATCCACTGCATACCCTGTGTCACATTCTGCTGCATCCACTGCTTACCCTGTGTCACATTCTGCTACATCCACTGCTTACCCTGCGTCACATTTTGCTACATCCACTTCTTACCCTGCGTCACATTCTGCTACATCCACTGCTTACCCTGTGTCACATTCTCCTACATTCACTGCATACCCTGTGTCACATTCTGCTACATCCACTGCTTACCCTGTGTCACATTCTGCTACATCCACTGCTTACCCTGTGTCACATTCTGCTACATCCACTGCATACCCTGTGTCACATTCTGCTACATCCACTGCTTACCCTGTGTCACATTCTGCTACATCCACTGCTTACCCTGCGTCACATTTTGCTACATCCACTTCTTACCCTGCGTCACATTCTGCTACATCCACTGCTTACCCTGTGTCACACTGGACACATTCTCCTACATCCACTGCTTACCCTGTGTCACATTCTGCTAAATACACTGCTTACCTTGTATCACATTCTGCTACATTCACTGCATACCCTGTGTCACATTCTCCTACATTCACTGCTTACCCTGTGTTACATTCTGCTACATCCACTGCTTACCTTGTGTCACATTCTCCTACATACACTGCTTACCCTGTGTCACATTCTGCTACATTTTTCTACATCCACTGCTTACCCTGTGTCACATTCTACTACATACACTGCTTACCCTGTGTCACATTCTCCTACATACACTGCTTACTCTGTGTCACATTCTGCTACATTCACTGCTTACCCTGTGTCACATTCTGCTATATCCACTGCTTACCCTGTGTTACATTCTGCAACATACAGTGCTTACCCTGTGTCATATTCTGCTACATTCACTGCTTACCCTGTGTCACATTCTGCTACATCCACTGCATACCCTGTGTCACATTCTCCTACATACACTGCTTACCTTGTGTCACATTCTAATACATACACTGCTTACCTTGTGTCACATTCTAATACATACACTGCTTACCTTGTGTCACATTCTGCTATATTCACTGCTAACCCTGTGTCACATTCTAATACATACACTGCTTACCTTGTGTCACATTCTAATACATACACTGCTTACCTTGTGTCACATTCTAATACATACACTGCTTACACTGTGTCACATTCAAATACATACACGGCTTACCTTGTGTCACATTCTAATAGTAATACATACACTGCTTACCTTGCGTCACATTCTAATACATACACTGCTTACCCTGTGTCACATTCTAATACATACACTGCTTACCTTGTGTTACATTCTAATACATACACTGCTTACCCTGTGTCACATTCTAATACATACACTGCTTACCCTGTGTCACATTCTAATACATACACTGCTTAACTTGTGTCACATTCTAATACATACACTGCTTACCTTGTGTCACATTCTTATACATACACTGCTTACCCTGTGTCACATTCTAATACTTACACTGCTTACCCTGTGTCACATTCTAATACTTACACTGCTTACCCTGTGTCACATTCTAATACATACACTGCTTACCTTGTGTCACTTTCTAATACATACACTGCTTACCTTGTGTCACATTCTGCTATATTCACTGCTAACCCTGTGTCACATTCTAATACATACACTGCTTACCTTGTGTCACATTCTAATACATACACTGCTTACCTTGTGTCACATTCTAATACATACACTGCTTACCCTGTGTCACATTCAAATACATACACGGCTTACCTTGTGTCACATTCTAATAGTAATACATACACTGCTTACCTTGCGTCACATTCTAATACATACACTGCTTACCCTGTGTCACATTCTAATACATACACTGCTTACCTTGTGTCACATTCTAATACATACACTGCTTACCCTGTGTCACATTCTAATACATACACTGCTTACCCTGTGTCACATTCTAATACATACACTGCTTAACTTGTGTCACATTCTAATACATACACTGCTTACCTTGTGTCACATTCTTATACATACACTGCTTACCCTGTGTCACATTCTAATACTTACACTGCTTACCCTGTGTCACATTCTAATACTTACACTGCTTACCCTGTGTCACATTCTAATACATACACTGCTTACCTTGTGTCACTTTCTAATACATACACTGCTTACCTTGTGTCACATTCTTATACATACACTGCTTACCCTGTGTCACATTCTAATACTTACACTGCTTACCCTGTGTCACATTCTAATACATACACTGCTTACCTTGTGTCACTTTCTAATACATACACTGCTTACCCTGCATCACACTGGACACTATCACACACAAATAAGATGCTTACCCTGAATAAGACTGGATACACCCAAACTCTGCTGGGACAAAATGCTGAATCGGCAATTCTGATCCTCCATGAACATCATTGCTGGCATAGGGTAAAAGTTGGCCTGTAGGGGGAGTTTGTCATATGTCTTTCTTCTCTGCATCTGTGGAATATATGACGATATTGGTAATGGGTGTCAGCAGATAAACATCACTATCTTTTCATTTGTGAAAGTGTAGAAATTTCTGGAAATGATATCTGATTCATAATCATGACTTCTAATGAATATGGTATAAACACTTAGGTCAGCCACAACAGAAGTGACAGAATGGGGTCATTTGGTCAGAAAAAAACTCTCCAGTATGAAATAATGAACCATTAAACAGTAGTAATAAAGGTCATTGTCTAATTGCATATGAATAATGAAACTCAAAATACAAAAGACACAAAACAAAAACCGACAACATCCACAAAACAAATCACTAGGTGACACTGCAATTAGTACGTTATTCTTAATTAGAGCGGTTTACTCCACTGTGCATATAATACATGCATGCAAAGGTTTATTCCATAGTGTTTATAATACATGCATGCACTGGTTTATTCCATTGTTTATATGATACATGCACGCAATGGTTTGTTCAGCTGTGTTAATAACACATGAACACAATAGTTTATTCTATGATGTATATGATACATACATGCAATGGCTTATTCCATTGTGTATATGATAGAGGGATGCAGTGGTTTATTCCATTGTGTTGGTTGGTTTGTTGTTTTACGCTGCACTCAGCAATATTCCAGCTATATGACAACAGTCTGTAAAAAAATCCAGTCTCGACTAGACAATCTGGTGATTGATATCATGATGACATGCAATTGGGATCGATGACATGCAACAACCAAGTCATTGAGCCCGACCACCAGATTGCATTTTACGAAAAGCATAGACGCTTTTACGGTATTCCATCGTGTATATGATACATGCAAGCAATGGTTTATTCCATTTTTAAAATTGTGTATATGATACATGCATGCAATAGTTTATTCCACTATGTACATGATACATGCATGCATGATTTATTCAGCTGTGTACATGATACATGCATGCAAGGGTTTATTCCACTGTGTATATGATACATGCATGCAATGGTTTATTCAGCTGTGTATATGATACATGCATGCAATGGTTTATTCAGCTGTGTATATGATACATGCATGCAATGGTTTATTCCACTGTGTATATAATACGTCTATGCAATGATTCATTCCACTATGTATATGATACATGCATGCAATGATATATTCAACTGTGTTTATAATACGTGCATGCAATGGTTAATTCCACTGTGTATATATGATATGTGCATGCAATGGTTCATTCCACTGTGTAAATGATACATGCATGCAATGATTTATTCAACTGTGTATATGATACGTGCATGCAATGGTTCATTCCACTGTGTATATGATATGTGCATGCAATGGTTCATTCCTCTGTGTATATGATACATGCATGCAATGATTTATTCAACTGTGTTTATAATACATGCATGCAATGGTTCATTCCACTGTGTAGATAATACATGCATGCAATGATTAATTCCACTGTGTATATGATATGTGCATGCAATGATTAATTCCACTGTGTATATGATATGTGCATGCAATAGTTCATTCCACTGTGTATATGATACATGCATGCAATGGTTCATTCCACTGTGTATATAATACGTGCATGCAATGGTTCATTCCACTGTGTATATGATATATGCATGCAATGATTTATTCCACTGTGTATATGATACATGCATGCAATGATTTATTCAACTGTGTATATAATACGTGCATGCAATGGTTCATTCCACTGTGTATATGATATGTGCACGCAATGGTTCATTCCACTGTGTATATGATACATGCATGCAATGATTTATTCAACTGTGTTTATAATACGTGCATGCAATAGTTCATTCCACTGTGTATATGATACATGCATGCAATGGTTCATTCCACTGTGTAGATAATATGTATGCAATGGTTCATTCCACTGTGTATATGATACATGCATGCAATGGTTCATTCCACTGTGTATATGATACGTGCATGCAATGATTCATTCCACTGTGTATATAATATGTGCATGCAATGGTTTATTCCACTGTGTATATAATACATGCATGCAATGATTCATTCCACTGTGTATATGATACGTGCATGCAATGGTTCATTCCACTGTGTAGATAATATGTGCATGCAATGGTTCATTCCACTGTGGATATAATACATGCATGCAATGATTTATTCCTCTGTGTAGATAATATGTGCATGCAATGGTTCATTCCACTGTCTATATGATATGTGCATGCAATGGTTCATTCCACTGTGTATATAGTACGTGCATGCAATGGTTCATTCCTCTGTGTAGATAATATGTGCATGCAATGGTTCATTCCACTGTGTATATGATACATGCATGCAATGATTCATTCCTCTGTGTATATAATATGTGCATGCAATGATTCATTCCACTGTGTACATGATATATGCATGCAATGGTTCATTCCACTGTGTATATAATATGTGCATGCAATGGTTCCTTCCTCTGTGTACATGATACATGCATGCAATGGTTCATTCCACTGTGTATATAATATGTACATGCAATGGTTCATTCCACTGTGTACATGATACATGCATGCAATGGTTCATTCCACTGTGTATATGATACATGCATGCAATGGTTCATTCCACTGTGTATATGATACATGCATGCAATGGTTCATTCCTCTGTGTACATGATATGTGCATGCAACGGTTCATTCCACTGTGTATATGATACATGCATGCAATGATTCATTCCACTGTGTATATGATACATGCATGCAATGATTCATTCCACTGTGTATATGATACATGCATGCAATGATTCATTCCACTGTGTATATAATACGTGCATGCAATGATTCATTCGTCTGTGTACATGATACATGCATGCAATGGTTCATTCCACTGTGTATATGATACATGCATGCAATGGTTCATTCCACTGTGTATATGATACATGCATGCAATGATTCATTCCTCTGTGTATATAATATGTGCATGCAATTATTCATTCCTCTGTGTACATGACATGTGCATGCAACGGTTCATTCCACTGTGTATATGATACGTGCATGCAATGGTTCATTCCACTGTGTACATAATATGTGCATGCAATGGTTCATTCCTCTGTGTACATGATACATGCATGCAATGGTTCATTCCACTGTGTATATGATACATGCATGCAATGATTCATTCCACTGTGTATATAATACGTGCATGCAATGGTTCATTTCTCTGTGTACATGATACATACATGCAATGGTTCATTCCACTGTGTATATGATACATGCATGCAAAGATTAAACATGCTGGATGTCTCCAAGTGGTGGATCAGCTGTTTAAAAATGGCAGGTGTCCTTGTTGCAAGACATGTATGGCAACTGCCATTATCTAAATTGGTTGTATTTCTGTATAGTATTAATATCATTGCTGCACATAAGCAATTTGAACACACTCTGCTAAATTTGCTGTATTGTATGCAAATCCTCACGGATGTGATTTCATTACAACATTTGTGAAAATAACAATTTTACCCATTCCACTTGATAAGAAAACCAGCATATTTGATGAACATCTTTCAAAATCCTTAATTTATAATTCAGTAAAGAATCACCTGGAATCCGTTCAAGTCTGTGTAAAACACTCTGTCTTGGTTCTTGATGTCAGTGCTGATTCTCATGGCCACTTCCTTATTAAGCAGATGTCTGACATCGACAATATTGTAGACATCAAGCGCAGTGCCATCGCTTCCTGGAATACAGACAACACCTTCTCAGTATCACAGGGAACAATGGCAATCACTTGTTTGTCGATTATTGAACCTTTATCAGCCACTTGTCCTGTTACCCTAAGCTTTTTGCCCACTACTCTGATATTACCTACACTCCTCCCCTTAACCTGACATGCCATACTGTCTCCCTCCATCCTGTACTGTACAGTGAGGCATCATGTTGTCCATCACCTTGTTCTCATTCATAGTCACCCCATTGGTTTACTGACATATGAAAGCCTTTGTGTTTACAAAGGGGTATGTTTCTATTTCTTCAAAAGAGCAGCCTGACAGGTTCAGTGTTTGTACCTGCAGAGTTGATGACACGCACAACATGTTCTGCATATGGAGTGAAGACATGAACTTCTGACAAGATAGGCCCTGTGATGATTCGCACCAAGGGGCCAGCAATGGGCACAGGCTGAAAGTGGATAAAGAGGTAGCAAACATATCAGTATCAGTATACATAACAGAAGCATAGTGTAGTGTCACACAATCCTCAAACATAACAGAAGCATAGTGTAGTGTCACACAATCCTCATACATAACAGAAGCATAGTGTAGTGTCAAACAATCCTCATACATAACAGAAGCATAGTGTAGTGTCAAACAATCCTCATACATAACAGAAGCATATTGTAGTGTCACACAATCCTCATACATAACAGAAGCATAGTGTAGTGTCACACAATCCTCAAACATAACAGAAGCATAGTGTAGTGTCAAACAATCCTCATACATAACAGAAGCATATTGTAGTGTCACATGATCCTCATACATAACAGAAGCATAGTGTAGTGTCACACAATCCTCGAACATAACAGAAGCATAGTGTAGTGTCACATGATCCTCAAACATAACAGAAGCATAGTGTAGCGTCACACAATCCTCAAACATAACAGAAGCATAGTGTAGTTTCACACGATCATCAAACATAACAGAAGCATAGTGTAGTGTCACATGATCCTCAAACATAACAGAAGCATAGTGTAGTGTCACACAATCCTCATACATAACAGAAACATAGTGTAGTTTCACACGATCCTCAAACATAACAGAAGCATAGTGTAGTGTCACACAATCCTCAAACATAACAGAAGCATAGTGTAGTGTCACACAATCCTCATACATAACAGAAGCATAGTGTAGTTTCACACGATCATCAAACATAACCGAAGCATAGTGTAGTGTCACATGATCCTCAAACATAACAGAAGCATAGTGTAGTGTCACACAATCCTCATACATAACAGAAGCATAGTGTAGTGTCACATGATCCTCAAACATAACAGAAGCATAGTGTAGTGTCACATGATCCTCATACATAACAGAAGCATAGTGTAGTGTCACATGATCCTCAAACATAACAGAAGCATAGTGTAGTTTCACACGATCCTCAAACATAACAGAAGCATAGTGTAGTGTCACACAATCCTCAAACATAACAGAAGCATAGTGTAGTGTCAAACAATCCTCATACATAACAGAAGCATATTGTAGTGTCACATGATCCTCATACATAACAGAAGCATAGTGTAGTGTCACACAATCCTCGAACATAACAGAAGCATAGTGTAGTGTCACATGATCCTCAAACATAACAGAAGCATAGTGTAGCGTCACACAATCCTCAAACATAACAGAAGCATAGTGTAGTTTCACACGATCATCAAACATAACAGAAGCATAGTGTAGTGTCACATGATCCTCAAACATAACAGAAGCATAGTGTAGTGTCACACAATCCTCATACATAACAGAAACATAGTGTAGTTTCACACGATCCTCAAACATAACAGAAGCATAGTGTAGTGTCACACAATCCTCAAACATAACAGAAGCATAGTGTAGTGTCACACAATCCTCATACATAACAGAAGCATAGTGTAGTTTCACACGATCATCAAACATAACCGAAGCATAGTGTAGTGTCACATGATCCTCAAACATAACAGAAGCATAGTGTAGTGTCACACAATCCTCATACATAACAGAAGCATAGTGTAGTGTCACATGATCCTCAAACATAACAGAAGCATAGTGTAGTGTCACATGATCCTCATACATAACAGAAGCATAGTGTAGTGTCACATGATCCTCAAACATAACAGAAGCATAGTGTAGTTTCACACGATCCTCAAACATAACAGAAGCATAGTGTAGTTTCACACGATCCTCAAACATAACAGAAGCATAGTGTAGTGTCACACGATCCTCAAACATAACAGAAGCATAGTGTAGTGTCACATGATTGTTATAAACTAGAATGTGTTTCTACTTATGAAAACAGATGTCTACCATCCATAAGTTCAAGTTGTTACAATAAATGTGTTTGCAAATCTGGAGAACTATAATAGCAAAGAAATACTAGTACAGATCCTAATTAAAGTATTAATGAAGCTGTATCACATGCAGTTGAAGCCATGTTGACTCTTTATGGCAGATAAGACTGTTGAACATGTAACAGCAGTTTGGATGATAGACTGTATTGTGCAAGTAGATGTACCCATATCGAACAATCAGTAGCTTTATGCTAAGTAGAAAGACTCTTAAGAATTTCCAAACTGTCTCCATGGAAACACAAGAAATTAAAAAAAATACAAATTTGAAAAATATGAAAAGGCAGTGGTTGAGCATGTGGTCTTTGCACATGAACAGCAAAACTATTCACTAGTTATGGTGACAGTTATGGCTCAAAAACAAAGCCTAGTTTTGTTTGAGACTAAGTCCAAATTGATTCCATGGAAACAATAAAATTGAGTAAAGATTCAAAACATCAAAAGACACCAGTTAAGCAGGTGAGTAATCACTGAAGCCAAGTATCACTGAAAAATGTTAAAAGGTTTTCAAGTTATGGTCCAGAAACAAACCCTATTTGAGACTAAGTTGAAATATTTTCTATGGAAACACTTAAGAAAATAAAATTTAGAAAAAATTCAAAATAGCAAAATCTATATATGTATAACCAGCTAAGCAGATAATCAATGTATATGCCAAGTTTTGTTGAAATGTATTGAATGGTTTTAAAGTGTTGGCCCAGAAACGAACCCTTCCCTACTTGAGACAAAGTTGAAATTGTTTCCAGTGAAACATATGGAAATAAAATCTTGAAAATGTTTAAAATAGCAAAAGGCACCAGTTAAGCTGATGAGCAATGCATATACCAAGTTTTGTGGAAAAACATAGAATGGTTTTCAAGTTATGGCGCCAGCTGAGCCAAAAACAATACATCTCTCCTCCCTTTGGGGGAGACGTCATTACAGAAGCATAGCCTAGTAGTGTCACACAATCCTCATACATAACAGAATACAGGAGCCAGTGTCACAGAGGGGAAGCAAAACATTGGTGTGTATCAGAGCCTGAGTGAATGTGGTTCTGCCCAGAAGCCCTACCTTGGCCACACCATCAGGCAGGAACAAATAGGCTCCAGACTTCTCCTTGGCATTTTTGGTTCCATACAGGACAAACTCAGCCTCAGTTTTGTGTTCAACCAAGTCTGGTTTGGTGGTCATCGCCTGAAACAAAAAGTGTTGAAGGTGGAGTCCTTCAATGAAACTCAACTCTCATGTGGGCAGCTCCGTTTCTTTGTAAAATCCTCCAAAATAACATGGTTAACCTCTTGTGGTGGACCAGGTATTTGACCTTGGATCAAGGGGTCTGTGGTTCCAATTCCATCATGGAAATCGAAAATTTAATGTATATGCTACAGTACATAAAAGAAGTTAACTCTTCATAAGAATGTAACCATTTCTTACCTTCAACAACCCTGTAGTCCCAGAGAATCGAGCTTTAAAGTAAGCATTTTCCAGGCTAAAATCAGCTGAGTCAGTCTTATGTTTCACAACAAATGATGGTCTGAAAAAAAAAACCATCTCTGAAGGTAAACTTTATAAGAAATCTTAACGTGACACTTATAAGAGTTCCATGAATGAACTTACACAGTGGCCTGGTTGGGCTGGGCATTGATGAGCTTGATCTCTACCCTGTGATGTCTTGGGTTGGAGGCAGGGGCAACTCTCCGGATCTGGTAGCGTGCCACACCAAGTGCCGGCAACTCACACACAAAGGCCAGCTGTAAACAACCACACATGGTCAGTGGAACCATACATCTTAACGTACAACAAAGATCTGTGCTCAACGAAGGACGGGTGTAATATGAGTGACATCAGTCTGCCACTTTAGCCAGTCGCAGGTTTTACATGTATTTAGTAGAGTAAAAATATCATTCATACTTATACTGACTCATACTAATTGCGTTTCTCTCTCTTCTCCTGAAATGTAGTGGAAACATCCGGAACTGTGTTCCCAGAGAACAGGGAAAACAGCTCACCCGAATGCACCCCTTGAACAGCGCATGTGCACCGGAACCACTTGACCAAGCTGGTAACTCTATCATTCTCTCACCTTATATCTGAAACTCAGGGGAAGAGGGGATGGGTGAGTGGGCGCTATAGCATAGGCCTATGTGTCAGAAAAAGTATGAATGATTTTACCATATCCTGACTCCTGACTTATCCTGACTTATCCTGAATTATCCTGATTAATTGCTTGAATCCGATGGTAGGTGGTGGGTTCAACCTGTGTGCATGATTCAGAGCAAGATCTGTCAATTAACCACTTTGGAACATGATATCTTCTTTATAATCATGTGGGGTACCACCTCCGTCTTGTGAAAGAGAGGAGTAAATCTTATAGATTTTGTGCATTTCCTGGGGAAAATAATTTTTCCTGCTTACTTTAAATCATTATAGTGTTAGGAAAAGGTCATCAACTCAACACAATTGCTTTCACTCATTCTCACAGGGGAGCATGGACTCTCGGTCATTGGTTATGGGACAGTAACCTGATGTCAGTAAGTCTGGGTGATAGTGGGGGAATACTTCAGAAAGGTCTATCTTTAGTAGGCACTGTCAGTTCTTGTGCAACTACGTATGGTCCAAATTGGTGAATTCCAGCAACATCTTGTGTGGAGAAACCTCTGAATTAAAAAAGATAAGTGAAGACAGTGTCAGACCTCCCAAAACAACCTTCCATAATCGTTGGGATGGAGCAGTGGCCGTGAAGTGCCAGAGTAGATGCTATGGCTCTCACCTTGTAAGGCATGGATGCTGTGACTGCCTCCGTGGTCAAGTGGAAGAGCATCCGATGGAGAGCGGAAGGTCCGGGGTTCGATCCCAGGCTGCGTCATACCAAAAGACGTTACAAGATGGTACTTGTTGTTACCCTCTGTCGCTCGGCATTAAGGGGCCAAAACAAGGACTGGTCGGCTCGGAGTCAGTATACTGTGTCTGAGTGGGGTATTCATGTTAAACTGTGGCATGGTATCTTAGTGAGCTAGCACTATAAAGTGGCATCAGTCCGGTCTAGTACAAGCAGCAACACACACACGTGCATGCTCGTCGTGATATAAGTGCAATAATCTTGGACACGACGTTAAACCCAATTTCGCCTCACCTTGGATGTTGATGGTGGATCCAGTCTTGCTGCCTGTGTAGGCTCTGAGGATGACTGCTCTCATCCAGCGAGTGAGTGTGTGAGTTTGATTTTAAGCCACTTTTAGCGGGGGACACCAGAAATCGGCTTCACACATTGAACCAATGTCGGGAATCAAATGCGGGTCTTCAGCGTGATGAGCGAACGCTTTAACCACTAGGCTACCCGACCGCCCCTGCTCTCATCCAGAAGAAAAAGGTTGTTCTGGAGACTTCTGCTGAAATATTCCATGATAAGGGAAGAACAGTCTCCTCGGCCTTTGTCTTCTAGAAATTCATCTGCAGGTTAATACGTGAATGAGGGATGAGGCTTTACGCCGCTTTTAGCAATCTTCCAGCAATATCATGGTGGGGAGCACCACAAATGGGTTTCACATATTGCCTCCATGTCAGAAATTGAACCCAGGTCTTCGGCATAACGAGCTAACGCTTTAACCACTAGATTACCCCACCGCCCCAGGTAGATACGTAATGCTCGAACTTGGCATAATGCAAATCTTCAGCATCCTCTGATCTCAGGACGGATGAGAGTGGAGGGACGAAAACTGTCTGTCTGGTTGTCCTTGTCACAGTCTCAGATGCGCCGATGCATGTTCGCCACTGTTGAATCTTGTATTGGAGAAATCTATTTCTGACATCATGGCTGCAGTTTCTAGGGCCCGTAGAAATAATATCTTCCAAATCAGATGTTAAAAATCTGCTTGTTGTAGAGGTGTTAAGGTTAGAAGAATGTAATCTGAGCAAGGGATGTTATGAAAAAAAAAGCTAAGTTTGATGGAATGGCTCGGATTACAGAGCCTAGGAAAATGTTCCCATCTGCTCTAGGCACTACAATGAGAGAGTGACAAGTTACCAGTTTGTTCACATGGTTCTGGTGCGCAAGGGGTGTGTTCAACTGAACTGTTTTTCTGTTCTCTGGGAACACAGTTAAGGAAGTTTCCACTACCTTTCGGAAATAGAAACAGATAAGCAATAAGTATGAGTCAGTATAAGGTAAAATAGGTAAAAAGTAGAATTATGTAAGAGAAGTAGTATGTTGAAGTCAATTCTGATAGTTGGCTGCCATCACAGCCCTGATATCTTTGATGAAGGGTTTGATTTGTTGCATGCCACTTGTTGTTTCTGATGTGAAGAACAACACACCTTTGGTGTCCATCAGTGTACAGGTGAAACTTTGAGGAATGTTTCTTCACATTGTCCACTATGGGCTGACTGTAGAGACTGAAAAGCAGTGGACCTTGAACATACCTTTAATTTCATACAATACCGACAGGCTTAACATACCCTGTGTCTGCCCAGAACGGCTCTACCAGAGACAAGATTAACATACCCTGTGTCTGCCCAGAACGGCTCTACCTGAGACAAGATTAACATACCCTGTGTCTGCCCAGAACGGCTCTACCTGAGACAAGATTACCATACCCTGTGTCTGCCCAGAACGGCTCTACCTGAGACAAGATTAACATACCTTGTACTTCAGGCCTGCAGTGCTGTCTGTGTCTGCCCAGATCAACTCTATCTGAGACAAGATTAACATACCCTGTGTCTGCCCAGAATGTCTCTACCTGAGACAAGATTAACATACCTTGTACTTCAGGCCTGCAGTGCTGTCTGTGTCTGCCCAGATCAGCTCTATCTGAGATAATATTAACATACCCTGTGTCTGCCCAGATCAACTCTATCTGAGACAAGATTAACATACCCTGTGTCTGCCCAGAACGGCTCTATCTGAGACAATATTAACATACCCTGTACTTCAGGCCTGCAGTGCTGTCTGTGTCTGCCCAGATCAACTCTATCTGAGACAAGATTAACATACCCTGTGTCTGCCCAGAACGGCTCTATCTGAGACAATATTAACATACCCTGTGTCTGCCCAGAATGGCTCTATCTGAGACAATATTAACATACCCTGTACTTCAGGCCTGCAGTGCTGTCTGTGTCTGCCCAGAATGGCTCTATCTGAGACAAGATTAACATACCCTGTGTCTGCCCAGAACGGCTCTATCTGAGACAATATTAACATACCTTGTACTTCAGGCCTGCATTGCTGTCTGTGTCTACCCAGATCAGCTCTATCTGAGACAAGATTAACATACCCTGTGTCTGCCCAGAATGGCTCTATCTGAGACAAGATTAACATACCCTGTGTCTGCCCAGATCAGCTCTATCTGAGACAATATTAACATACCCTGTACTTCAGGCCTGCAGTGCTGTCTGTGTCTGCCCAGAATGGCTCTATCTGAGACAAGATCAACGTACCCTGTGTCTGCCCAGAACGGCTCTATCTGAGACAAGATCAACATACCTTGTACTTCAGGCCTGCAGTGCTGTCTGTGTCTGCCCAGAATGGCTCTATCTGAGACAAGATCAACATACCTTGTACTTCAGGCCTGCAGTGCTGTCTGTGTCTGCCCAGAATGGCTCTATCTGAGACAAGATCAACATACCTTGTACTTCAGGCCTGCAGTGCTGTCTGTGTCTGCCCAGAATGGCTCTATCTGAGACAAGATCAACATACCTTGTACTTCAGGCCTGCAGTGCTGTCTGTGTCTGCCCAGAATGGCTCTATCTGAGACAAGATCAACATACCTTGTACTTCAGGCCTGCAGTGCTGTCTGTGTCTGCCCAGAATGGCTCTATCTGAGACAAGATCAACATACCTTGTACTTCAGGCCTGCAGTGCTGTCTGTGTCTGCCCAGAATGGCTCTATCTGAGAGTGTATGACTTTGCCTGTAGGGTTCTGGACCTCCACATCCACAGCATTGATGAATACTTTTACGACCTCAGTTCGCTTGCTGGCCATGGAGTTGTACAGAATCACAGACCTTGCAATTGTAAATATCACAATATAAGATAAATGTGTGACACTTTTGGTGAGACAATTCAACTATATACTCAATGTTTCACGTGAATCCTTAATATTACCATAAGGTTACTTTGCATGAAGGAATGTTCAGGCCCTCATTCCTTACAGGCTAGAGTTATTTCCCTTAGACTAGTTGAATCAGCCAGAGAGGTGGTTCTGCGCATGCTACATATATTTTGATGGCCACATAACATGTCAGTGAGCTCCTCGCCATGTGTCAGGGGCAGCAATGTCTAATGTAGCTCCTTGCCATGTGTCAGTCAGGGGCAGCAATGTCTAATGTAGCTCCTCGCCATGTGTCAGTCAGGGGCAGCAGTGTCTAATGTAGCTCCTTGCCATGTGTCAGTCAGGGGCAGCAATGTCTAATGTAGCTCCTCGCCATGTGTCAGTCAGGGGCAGCAATGTCTAATGTAGCTCCTTGCCATGTGTCAGTCAGGGGCAGCAATGTCTAATGTAGCTCCTTGCCATGTGTCAGTCAGGGGCAGCAATGTCTAATGTAGCTCCTCGCCATGTGTCAGTCAGGGGCAGCAATGTCTAATGTAGCTCCTTGCCATGTGTCAGTCAGGGGCAGCAATGTCTAATGTAGCTCCTCGCCATGTGTCAGTCAGGGGCAGCAGTGTCTAATGTAGCTCCTTGCCATGTGTCAGTCAGGGGCAGCAATGTCTAATGTAGCTCCTCGCCATGTGTCAGGGGCAGCAATGTCTAATGTAGCTCCACGCCACGTGTCAGGGGCAGCAATGTCTAATGTAGCTCCTTGCCACGTGTCAGTCAGGGGCAGCAATGTCTAATGTAGCTCCTTGCCATGTGTCAGTCAGGGGCAGCAATGTCTAATGTAGCTCCTCGCCATGTGTCAGGGGCAGCAGTGTCTAATGTAGCTCCTCGCCACGTGTCAGTCAGGGGCAGCAGTGTCTAATGTAGCTCCTTGCCATGTGTCAGTCAGGGGCAGCAATGTCTAATGTAGCTCCTCGCCATGTGTCAGTCAGGGGCAGCAGTGTCTAATGTAGCTCCTTGCCACGTGTCAGTCAGGGGCAGCAGTGTCTAATGTAGCTCCTTGCCATGTGTCAGTCAGGGGCAGCAGTGTCTTATGTAGCTCCTCGCCATGTGTCAGTCAGGGGCAGCAGTGTCTAATGTAGCTCCTTGCCATGTGTCAGTCAGGGGCAGCAATGTCTAATGTAGCTCCTCGCCATGTGTCAGTCAGGGGCAGCAATGTCTAATGTAGCTCATCGCCACGTGTCAGTCAGGGGCAGCAATGTCTAATGTAGCTCCTTGCAATGTGTCAGTCAGGGGCAGCAATGTCTAATGTAGCTCCTTGCAATGTGTCAGTCAGGGGCAGCAATGTCTAATGTAGCTCCTTGCAATGTGTCAGTCAGGGGCAGCAATGTCTAATGTAGCTCCTTGCCATGTGTCAGTCAGGGGCAGCAATGTCTAATGTAGCTCCTTGCAATGTGTCAGTCAGGGGCAGCAATGTCTAATGTAGCTCCTTGCAATGTGTCAGTCAGGGGCAGCAATGTCTAATGTAGCTCCTGTGTCAGTCAGGGGCAGCAATTTCTAATGTAGCTCCTTGCCATGTGTCAGTCAGGGGCAGCAGTGTCTAATGTAGCTCCTTGCCATGTGTCAGGGGCAGCAATGTCTAATGTAGCTCCTTGCCACGTGTCAGTCAGGGGCAGCAATGTCTAATGTAGCTCCTTGCCACGTGTCAGTCAGGGGCAGCAATGTCTAATGTAGCTCCTTGCCATGTGTCAGTCAGGGGCAGCAATGTCTAATGTAGCTCCTTGCCATGTGTCAGTCAGGGGCAGCAATGTCTAATGTAGCTCCTTGCCATGTGTCAGTCAGGGGCAGCAATGTCTAATGTAGCTCCTTGCCAGGTGTCAGTCAGGGGCAGCAATGTCTAATGTAGCTCCTTGCCACGTGTCAGTCAGGAGCAGCAATGTCTAATGTAGCTCCTTGCCACGTGTCAGTCAGGGGCAGCAATGTCTAATGTAGCTCCTTGCCATGTGTCAGTCAGGGGCAGCAATGTCTAATGTAGCTCCTTGCCATGTGTCAGTCAGGGGCAGCAATGTCTAATGTAGCTCCTTGCCATGTGTCAGTCAGGGGCAGCAATGTCTAATGTAGCTCCTCGCCATGTGTCAGTCAGGGGCAGCAATGTCTAATGTAGCTCCTTGCCATGTGTCAGTCAGGGGCAGCAATGTCTAATGTAGCTCCTCGCCACGTGTCAGTCAGAGGCAGCAATGTCTAATGTAGCTCCTTGCCAGGTGTCAGTCAGGGGCAGCAATGTCTAATGTAGCTCCTTGCCACGTGTCAGTCAGGGGCAGCAATGTCTAATGTAGCTCCTTGCCACGTGTCAGTCAGGGGCAGCAATGTCTAATGTAGCTCCTTGCCACGTGTCAGTCAGGGGCAGCAATGTCTAATGTAGCTCCTTGCCATGTGTCAGTCAGGGGCAGCAATGTCTAATGTAGCTCCTCGCCATGTGTCAGTCAGGGGCAGCAGTGTCTAATGTAGTTCCTTGCCACGTGTCAGTCAGGGGCAGCAATGTCTAATGTAGTTCCTTGCCATGTGTCAGTCAGGGGCAGCAATGTCTAATGTAGCTCCTCGCCATGTGTCAGTCAGGGGCAGCAATGTCTAATGTAGCTCCTTGCCACGTGTCAGTCAGGGGCAGCAATGTCTAATGTAGCTCCTTGCCATGTGTCAGTCAGGGGCAGCAATGTCTAATGTAGCTCCTCGCCATGTGTCAGTCAGGGGCAGCAGTGTCTAATGTAGCTCCTCGCCATGTGTCAGTCAGGGGCAGCAATGTCTAATGTAGCTCCTTGCCATGTGTCAGTCAGGGGCAGCAATGTCTAATGTAGCTCCTCGCCATGTGTCAGTCAGGGGCAGCAGTGTCTAATGTAGCTCCTTGCCATGTGTCAGTCAGGGGCAGCAATGTTTAATGTAGCTCCTCGCCATGTGTCAGGGGCAGCAATGTCTAATGTAGCTCCACGCCACGTGTCAGGGGCAGCAATGTCTAATGTAGCTCCTTGCCATGTGTCAGGGGCAGCAATGTCTAATGTAGCTCCTCGCCATGTGTCAGGGGCAGCAATGTCTAATGTAGCTCCTCGCCATGTGTCAGTCAGGGGCAGCAATGTCTAATGTAGCTCCTTGCCATGTGTCAGTCAGGGGCAGCAATGTCTAATGTAGCTCCTTGCCATGTGTCAGGGGCAGCAGTGTCTAATGTAGCTCCTCGCCACGTGTCAGTCAGGGGCAGCAGTGTCTAATGTAGCTCCTTGCCATGTGTCAGTCAGGGGCAGCAATGTCTAATGTAGCTCCTCGCCATGTGTCAGTCAGGGGCAGCAGTGTCTAATGTAGCTCCTTGCCATGTGTCAGTCAGGGGCAGCAGTGTCTAATGTAGCTCCTCGCCATGTGTCAGTCAGGGGCAGCAGTGTCTAATGTAGCTCCTTGCCATGTGTCAGTCAGGGGCAGCAATGTCTAATGTAGCTCCTTGCAATGTGTCAGTCAGGGGCAGCAATGTCTAATGTAGCTCCTTGCAATGTGTCAGTCAGGGGCAGCAATGTCTAATGTAGCTCCTGTGTCAGTCAGGGGCAGCAATGTCTAATGTAGCTCCTTGCCATGTGTCAGTCAGGGGCAGCAGTGTCTAATGTAGCTCCTTGCCATGTGTCAGGGGCAGCAATGTCTAATGTAGCTCCTTGCCACGTGTCAGTCAGGGGCGGCAATGTCTAATGTAGCTCCTTGCCATGTGTCAGTCAGGGGCAGCAATGTCTAATGTAGCTCCTCGCCACGTGTCAGTCAGAGGCAGCAATGTCTAATGTAGCTCCTTGCCAGGTGTCAGTCAGGGGCAGCAATGTCTAATGTAGCTCCTTGCCACGTGTCAGTCAGGGGCAGCAATGTCTAATGTAGCTCCTTGCCATGTGTCAGTCAGGGGCAGCAATGTCTAATGTAGCTCCTCGCCATGTGTCAGTCAGGGGCAGCAGTGTCTAATGTAGTTCCTTGCCACGTGTCAGTCAGGGGCAGCAATGTCTAATGTAGTTCCTTGCCATGTGTCAGTCAGGGGCAGCAATGTCTAATGTAGCTCCTCGCCATGTGTCAGTCAGGGGCAGCAATGTCTAATGTAGCTCCTTGCCACGTGTCAGTCAGGGGCAGCAATGTCTAATGTAGCTCCTTGCCACGTGTCAGTCAGGGGCAGCAATGTCTAATGTAGCTCCTTGCCATGTGTCAGTCAGGGGCAGCAATGTCTAATGTAGCTCCTCGCCATGTGTCAGTCAGGGGCAGCAGTGTCTAATGTAGCTCCTTGCCATGTGTCAGTCAGGGGCAGCAATGTCTAATGTAGCTCCTCGCCATGTGTCAGTCAGGGGCAGCAATGTCTAATGTAGCTCCTTGCCATGTGTCAGTCAGGGGCAGCAATGTCTAATGTAGCTCCTCGCCATGTGTCAGTCAGGGGCAGCAATGTCTAATGTAGCTCCTCGCCATGTGTCAGTCAGGGGCAGCAATGTCTAATGTAGCTCCTTGCCATGTGTCAGTCAGGGGCAGCAATGTCTAATGTAGCTCCTCGCCATGTGTCAGTCAGGGGCAGCAGTGTCTAATGTAGCTCCTTGCCATGTGTCAGTCAGGGGCAGCAATGTCTAATGTAGCTCCTCGCCATGTGTCAGGGGCAGCAATGTCTAATGTAGCTCCACGCCACGTGTCAGGGGCAGCAATGTCTAATGTAGCTCCTTGCCATGTGTCAGTCAGGGGCAGCAATGTCTAATGTAGCTCCTTGCCATGTGTCAGGGGCAGCAGTGTCTAATGTAGCTCCTCGCCACGTGTCAGTCAGGGGCAGCAGTGTCTAATGTAGCTCCTTGCCATGTGTCAGTCAGGGGCAGCAATGTCTAATGTAGCTCCTTGCCATGTGTCAGTCAGGGGCAGCAGTGTCTAATGTAGCTCCTTGCCACGTGTCAGTCAGGGGCAGCAGTGTCTAATGTAGCTCCTTGCCATGTGTCAGTCAGGGGCAGCAGTGTCTTATGTAGCTCCTCGCCATGTGTCAGTCAGGGGCAGCAGTGTCTAATGTAGCTCCTTGCCATGTGTCAGTCAGGGGCAGCAGTGTCTAATGTAGCTCCTTGCCATGTGTCAGTCAGGGGCAGCAATGTCTAATGTAGCTCCTTGCAATGTGTCAGTCAGGGGCAGCAATGTTTAATGTAGCTCCTCGCCATGTGTCAGTCAGGGGCAGCAATGTCTAATGTAGCTCCTCGCCATGTGTCAGTCAGGGGCAGTAATGTCTAATGTAGCTCCTTGCCACGTGTCAGTCAGGGGCAGCAATGTCTAATGTAGCTCCTCGCCATGTGTCAGTCAGGGGCAGCAATGTCTAATGTAGCTCCTTGCCATGTGTCAGTCAGGGGCAGCAGTGTCTAATGTAGCTCCTTGCCATGTGTCAGTCAGGGGCAGCAATGTCTAATGTAGCTCCTCGCCATGTGTCAGGGGCAGCAATGTCTAATGTAGCTCCTTGCCATGTGTCAGTCAGGGGCAGCAATGTCTAATGTAGCTCCTTCCCAGGTGTCAGTCAGGGGCAGCAATGTCTAATGTAGCTCCTTGCCATGTGTCAGTCAGGGGCAGCAATGTCTAATGTAGCTCCTCACCAGGTGTCAGTCAGGGGCAGCAATGTCTAATGTAGCTCCTTGCCATGTGTCAGTCAGGGGCAGCAATGTCTAATGTAGCTCCTTGCCATGTGTCAGTCAGGGGCAGCAATGTCTAATGTAGCTCCTTGCCATGTGTCAGTCAGGGGCAGCAATGTCTAATGTAGCTCCTTGCCATGTGTCAGTCAGGGGCAGCAATGTCTAATGTAGCTCCTCACCAGGTGTCAGTCAGGGGCAGCAGTGTCTAATGTAGCTCCTTGCCATGTGTCAGTCAGGGGCAGCAATGTCTAATGTAGCTCCTTGCCATGTGTCAGTCAGGGGCAGCAATGTCTAATGTAGCTCCTCGCCATGTGTCAGTCAGGGGCAGCAATGTCTAATGTAGCTCCTTGCCATGTGTCAGTCAGGGGCAGCAATGTCTAATGTAGCTCCTTGCCATGTGTCAGTCAGAGGCAGCAATGTCTAATGTAGCTCCTTGCCATGTGTCAGTCAGGGGCAGCAGTGTCTAATGTAGCTCCTCGCCATGTGTCAGTCAGGGGCAGCAATGTCTAATGTAGCTCCTCCCCATGTGTCAGTCAGGGGCAGCAGTGTCTAATGTAGCTCCTTGCCATGTGTCAGTCAGGGGCAGCAATGTCTAATGTAGCTCCTCGCCATGTGTCAGTCAGGGGCAGCAATGTCTAATGTAGCTCCTCGCCATGTGTCAGTCAGGGGCAGCAATGTCTAATGTAGCTCCTCACCAGGTGTCAGTCAGGGGCAGCAATGTCTAATGTAGCTCCTTGCCATGTGTCAGTCAGGGGCAGCAGTGTCTAATGTAGCTCCTCGCCATGTGTCAGTCAGGGGCAGCAATGTCTAATGTAGCTCCTCCCCATGTGTCAGTCAGGGGCAGCAATGTCTAATGTAGCTCCTTGCCATGTGTCAGTCAGGGGCAGCAGTGTCTAATGTAGCTCCTCGCCATGTGTCAGTCAGGGGCAGCAGTGTCTAATGTAGCTCCTTGCCATGTGTCAGTCAGGGGCAGCAATGTCTAATGTAGCTCCTCGCCATGTGTCAGTCAGGGGCAGCAATGTCTAATGTAGCTCCTTGCCATGTGTCAGTCAGGCGCAGCAATGTCTAATGTAGCTCCTTGCCATGTGTCAGTCAGGGGCAGCAATGTCTAATGTAGCTCCTCGCCATGTGTCAGTCAGGGGCAGCAATGTCTAATGTAGCTCCTTGCCACGTGTCAGTCAGGGGCAGCAATGTCTAATGTAGCTCCTTGCCACGTGTCAGTCAGGGGCAGCAATGTCTAATGTAGCTCCTCGCCATGTGTCAGTCAGGGGCAGCAATGTCTAATGTAGCTCCTTGCCATGTGTCAGTCAGGGGCAGCAGTGTCTAATGTAGCTCCTTGCCATGTGTCAGTCAGGGGCAGCAATGTCTAATGTAGCTCCTCGCCATGTGTCAGTCAGGGGCAGCAATGTCTAATGTAGCTCCTTGCCATGTGTCAGTCAGGGGCAGCAATGTCTAATGTAGCTCCTCGCCATGTGTCAGTCAGGGGCAGCAATGTCTAATGTAGCTCCTTGCCATGTGTCAGTCAGGGGCAGCAGTGTCTAATGTAGCTCCTTGCCATGTGTCAGTCAGGGGCAGGAATGTCTAATGTAGCTCCTTGCCATGTGTCAGTCAGGGGCAGCAGTGTCTAATGTAGCTCCTTGCCATGTGTCAGTCAGGGGCAGCAATGTCTAATGTAGCTCCTTGCCATGTGTCAGTCAGGGGCAGCAATGTCTAATGTAGCTCCTCGCCATGTGTCAGTCAGGGGCAGGAATGTCTAATGTAGCTCCTCGCCATGTGTCAGTCAGGGGCAGCAATGTCTAATGTAGCTCCTTGCCATGTGTCAGTCAGGGGCAGCAATGTCTAATGTAGCTCCTTGCCATGTGTCAGTCAGGGGCAGCAATGTCTAATGTAGCTCCTCGCCACGTGTCAGGGGCAGCAATGTCTAATGTAGCTCCTTGCCACGTGTCAGTCAGGGGCAGCAATGTCTAATGTAGCTCCTTGCCATGTGTCAGTCAGGGGCAGCAATGTCTAATGTAGCTCCTCGCCATGTGTCAGTCAGGGGCAGCAATGTCTAATGTAGCTCCTTGCCATGTGTCAGTCAGGGGCAGCAATGTCTAATGTAGCTCCTCGCCATGTGTCAGTCAGGGGCAGCAATGTCTAATGTAGCTCCTTGCCATGTGTCAGTCAGGGGCAGCAATGTCTAATGTAGCTCCTCGCCATGTGTCAGTCAGGGGCAGCAATGTCTAATGTAGCTCCTCGCCATGTGTCAGTCAGGGGCAGCAGTGTCTTATGTAGCTCCTTGCCATGTGTCAGTCAGGGGCAGCAATGTCTAATGTAGCTCCTCGCCATGTGTCAGTCAGGGGCAGCAATGTCTAATGTAGCTCCTCGCCATGTGTCAGTCAGGGGCAGCAATGCCTTATGTAGCTCCTCGCCATGTGTCAGTCAGGGGCAGCAATGTCTAATGTAGCTCCTCGCCATGTGTCAGTTTAAAAATGTGATGTATCTGCTTAATCCAAAACACAATTGTGGGAGTCTGAGCGATAACTGCCAACTCGTATGGCCGCTTGGTCAGCTAAAGCATGATGTGGTGAGAAAATCACAGATAACAAATCTCCCTTACCTAAAGCTCTCTGACAACTCCATGACTGTCTTGTCTGGCAGAGAATCATGGGATTCCCTCAACTCATCCTGAAACACAGAAGACCTGTTATACAAACACGGAAAACCTGTTTTACAAACACAGAAGACCTGTTATAAAAATACAGAAGGTCTGTTATACAAACTCAGAAGACCTGTTATACCAACTCAGAAGACCTGTTATACAAGCTCAGAAGACCTGTTATACAAGCTCAGAAGATCGGTTAAACAAACTCAGAAGACCTGTTATACAAACTCAGAAGACCTGTTATACAATCTCAGCTTTACACACACATGGCTCCTCACATCGCCAGCTTTACACACACATGGCTCCACACATCGCCAGCTTTACACACACATGGCGCCTCACATCGCAAGCTTTACACACACATGGCGCCTCACATCGCAAGCTTTACACACACATGGCTCCTCACATCGCAAGCTTTACACACACATGGCTGCTGACATCGCAAGCTTTACACACACATGGCGCCTCACATCGCAAGCTTTACACGCACATGGCTCCTCACATCGCCAGCTTTACACACACATGGCTCCTCACATCGCAAGCTTTACACACACATGGCTCCACACATCGCCAGCTTTACACACACATGGCTCCTCACATCGCCAGCTTTACACACACATGGCTCCTTCCATTGCAAGCTTTACACACACATGGCTTCACACATCGCCAGCTTTACACACACATGGCTTCTTACAGAAACCCTGCTGCACAAATATTGGAACCCATGAAGATCCAGGCTAGAATACATCTTCAGCAACCCATGCTTGCCATAAAAGGCCATTGTGCTTGTCGTAAGAGGCGACTTATGGAATGGGTGGTCAGGCTCGCTGACTTGTTTGATGCATGTCATCGTATCCCAATTGCATGGATTGATGCTCATGATATCAATCAATGGATTGTCTGGTCCAGACTAGATTATTTACAGACTGCCGTCATATAGCTGGAATATTGCTGAGTGCAGCATTAAACAACAAACAAACAAATACAAAACCAATATGGGTGAAACTAAAATGTTGCTAAAATATGCAGACTTCTTTTAATGATACAATTTCTGGGATGATCGAAGCAGATGAGGAATGCACCTTGCCAGAGACAGGCAGGAAGCTATTATTGAGGTGAGCTAAATAGGCCACCGTTGCGGCATGGAACTGACCACATTGAAGTAGTATGTCTTGTCTTTGTAGTCATTCTTCTCGGCAGCAAGTAGGTACGTGGCACACTCTACTATCAAGCGTTTCAGATGTGCCAGGGACTCCACTATCCTACAACACACAAAGTGTATCAACATAAATCAGACAGTTAGACCAAAGAGACCAGCGTTGTAAACACTGCACATAATGGCAACATATTCCAATATGAATAACAAAGAAGTCTGAAATAGCCTGTACATTTACTTTCCTATCTACATTCTAGGAATATTGCAACAAACTAACTGACCTGTTGCCGTAGTCCACAACCACAAAGTCCTTGGCTGTGCCGGTGATGCCATCGTGGTGCTGGAACAGCCCCAGCGCCCGCCGCGCTGTCACCAGGTGGCTCATCATCTCCACGGACGGAAAGGCTGATGATGTAAACTTCCTAGCATATGACTGGGCCATGGAAAATATCACTTCTGCAGACCTACAAGCAATATGACAGCACTCATCAAAAGCAGTGAAAACCTAACAGCTCTGTACCTCGCTTTATAATTATAGCTAATTTTATTTGAAATTAATATCTAACAGCACATAGAAGTATTAGCAAAATCCAGAGGAACACAGAGTTCCCCTTTACACTAAAGGGCTGAGGGTATGCCAAGTTATTTATTTTAAACAAATCTTTTTAGGTTCTCAAAATGATCCCTTCTATTATGCTAACAAAAGAGAGATAGTGACAGTGGAGCTGGATAGTGATAGTGAAGCTGGATAGTGATAGTGAAGTTAGATACTGATAGTAGAGCTATATACTGATAGTGGAGCTGGATACTGATAGTGGAGCTGGATACTGATTGTGGAGCTGGTTACTGATAGTGAAGACGGATAGTGATAGTGAAGCTGGATACTGATAGTGAAGCTAGATACTGATAGTGAAGCTAGATACTGATAGTGAAGCTAGATACTGATAGTGGAGCTGGATAGTGATAGTGGAGCTGGTTACTGATAGTGAAGCTAGATACTGATAGTGAAGCTGATACTGATAGTGAAGCTGGATACTGATAGTGAAGCTGGATACTGATAGTGAAGCTGGATAGTGATAGTGAAGCTAGATACTGATAGTGAAGCTGGATAGTGATAGTGAAACCAGATACTGATAGTGAAGTTGGATAGTGATAGTGAAGCTGGATACTGATAGTGAACCTGGATACTGATAGTGAAGCTGGATAGTGATAGTGAGGCTAGATACTGATAGTGAAGCTGGATACTGATAGTGAAATTAGATACTGATAGTGAAGCTAGATACTGATAGTGGAGCTGGATACTGATAGTGAAGCTAGATACTGATGTGAAGCTGATAGTGAAGCTACATACTGATAGTGAAGGTGGATACTGATAGTGATGCTGGATACTGATAGTGAAGCTGGATACTGATAGTGAAGCTAGATACTGATAGTGAAGCTGGATAGTGATAGTGAAACCAGATACTGATAGTGAAGCTGGATAGTGATAGTGAAGCTGGATACTGATAGTGAAGCTGGAAAGTGATAGTGAAGCTGGATACTGATAGTGAACCTGGATACTGATAGTGGAGCTGGATAGTGATAGTGAGGCTAGATACTGATAGTGGAGCTGGATAGTGATAGTGAAACTGGATACTGATAGTGAAACTAGATACTGATAGTGAACCTGGATACTGATAGTGGAGCTGGATAGTGATAGTGAGGCTAGATACTGATAGTGGAGCTGGATAGTGATAGTGGAGCTTGATACTGATAGTGAAGCTTGATACTGATAGTGAAGCTGGATACTGATAGTGAAATTAGATACTGATAGTGAAGCTAGATACTGATAGTGGAGCTGGATACTGATAGTGAAGCTAGATACTGATGTGAAGCTGATAGTGAAGCTAGATACTGATAGTGGAGCTGGATACTGATAGTGAAGATGGATAGTGATTGTGGAGCTGGATACTGATAGTGGAGCTAGATACTGATAGTGAAGCTGGATACTGATAGTGAAGCTAGATACTGATAGTGCAGCTGGATAGTGATAGTGAAGCTGGATAGTGAAAGTGGAGCTGGATACTGATAGTGAAGCTGGATACTGATAGTGAAGCTGGATACTGATAGTGAAGCTAGATACTGATAGTGAAGCTAGATACTGAAAGTGAAGCTGGGTACTGATAGTGAAGCTGGATAGTGATAGTGGAGCTGGATACTGATAGTGGAGCTGGATACTGATAGTGAAGCTAGATACTGATAGTGAAGCTGGATAGTGATAGTGGAGCTGGATACTGATAGTGGAGCTAGATACTGATAGTGAAGCTGGGTACTGATAGTGAAGCTGGATACTGATAGTGAAGCTGGATAGTGATAGTGAAGCTCGATAGTGATAGTGAAGCTGGATACTGATAGTAAAGCTGGATAGTGATAGTGAAGCTGGATAGTGATAGTGAAGCTGGATAGTGATAGTGAAGCTAGATACTGATAGTGAAGCTGGATACTGATAGTGAAGCTGGATAGTGATAGTGAAGCTGGATACTGATAGTGGAGCTAGATACTGATAGTGGAGCTGGATACTGATAGTGGTGCTGGATAGTAATAGTGAAACTGGATACTGATAGTGGAGCTGGGTACTGATAGTGAAGCTGGATACTGATAGTGAAGCTGGATAGTGATAGTGAAGCTCGATAGTGATAGTGAAGCTGGATACTGATAGTAAAGCTGGATAGTGATAGTGAAGCTGGATAGTGATAGTGAAGCTGGATACTGATAGTGAAGCTGCATAGTGATAGTGAAGGTAGATACTGATAGTGAAGCTGGATACTGATAGTGAAGCTGGATAGTGATAGTGAAGCTGGATACTGATAGTGGAGCTAGATACTGATAGTGGAGCCGGATACTGATAGTGGTGCTGGATAGTAATAGTGAAACTGGATACTGATAGTGGAACTGAGCTGATAGTGGAGCTAGATATTGATAGTGAAGCTACATACTGGTAGTGGAGCTGGATAGTAATAGTGAAGCTGGATACTGGTAGTAGAGCTGGATAGTAATAGTGAAGCTGGATACTGATAGTGGAGCTGGATACTGATAGTGAAGCTAGATACTGATAATGAAGCTGGATAGTGATAGTGAAACTGGATAGTGATAGTGAAGCTGGATACTGATAGTGAAGCTGGATAGTGATAGTGAAGCTGGATAGTGATAGTGGAGCTGGATAGTGATAGTGAAGCTAGATACTGATAGTGAAGCTAGATACTGATAGTGGAGTTGGATAGTGATAGTGGAGCTAGATACTGATAGTGAAGCTAGATACTAGTAGTGAAGCTAGATACTAGTAGTGAAGCTGGATAGTAAAGCTAGATACTGATTGTGAAGCTAGATACTGATAGTGAAGCTGGATAGTGATAGTGGAGCTGGATACTGATAGTGAAGCTTGATACTGATAGTGGAGCTAGATACTGATAGTGAAGCTAGATACTGATAGTGAAGCTGGATACTGATAGTGAAGCTAGATACTGATAGTGGAGCTAGATACTGATAGTGAAGCTAGATACTGATAGTGAAGCTAGATACTGATAGTGAAGCTAGATACTGATAGTGGAGCTAGATACTGATAGTGAGCTAGATACTGATAGTGAAGCTGGATACTGATAGTGAAGCTAGATACTGATAGTGGAGCTAGATACTGATAGTGAAGCTAGATGCTGATAGTGAAGCTGGATACTGATAGTGAAGCTTGATGCTGATAGTGAAGCTAGATAGTAAAGCTAGATACTGATAGTGAAGCTAGATACTGATAGTGAAGCTAGATAGTAAAGCTAGATACTGATAGTGAAGCTAGATACTGATAGTGGAGCTAGATACTGATAGTGGAGCTAGATACTGATAGTGGAGCTAGATACTGATAGTGAAGCTAGATGCTGATAGTAAAGCTAGATAGTAAAGCTAGATATTAATAGTGAAGCTAGAAAGTCATATGGAACAATTGTTAATAATTCTAAGAGTACTACCTCCAGTACAGATATTCCATAAATCCTTATTTTGGCTTCAATCACACTAACTGAAATTTTCAGATTTTTAAGGAAGTTCTCTTCACTGTCAATTACACACAACTAGTTGTCGCCAACTAGTCTTGGAACTACCCAAGCCATGACATAATGGCGGAAACCTCACTTTTTTCCCTCATCTCCTACTAGAGGTAGATGAATTGGGGAGGTGGAAGGAGTAATTTGTTTGTAATAGAGGTAGTATTCTTAGAATTATTAACAATGATAACCATTGTTCAATAATTTTTACGAAACTTCTACCTCTATTACATATGTGCCAGAATATACCAGAGAGCCCCAGTGGGATCTGCCTCTGGTAACTTCCTGTGCAATTGACAGTAATCCTCTTCTGGAAACCATAATGTCCTGATTCTCATCCTACTGAGATAATTTCCTCTGAAATTCCCCTGGAGGACTTGAAAATCAGAAATTATGTCAATAATCAGACAAATATATCACTAGATTTACCGTTATATCTGCTGATTTTGACCATAATTAACCTGGATTAGTGACCTATAATACCAGCGATTATGTCACTTCCAGTTCTGACGTCACTTCCAGTTATGACGTCACTTCCCCTTTTTGGTAATGATGTCTTTCTAGGTCTACCTCATGGTTACAAGAATTTGTTCAGCTATTTCCGGTGCTGACGTCACTTCCGGTCGGGATGCTGCTTATCACATGTTCTCTGTGAGTCCACCAAAGGAGGTCTGGTAGCCAAATAGGAGAAGCTGAGACTGGAACTCTGGCCCCTTCGATCGTATAGAGTTTACCCATGTCTGGAGAGGTCATGTCCTGTAGAGATGTCAAGTTGCCTAGCAGAGACATCCACCACCTCAGCGACTTGCTGGGTTGACTTGAGATTGATTGGATCATCTTTAAAGTCTTGTTGAATGAATCCTCTGGAGGACATAGATATCCCCTGTCTAGCTGGAATCTTGCTCCGATGTATATAATGTCTTGGACCGGAGTGGTCTCTGACTTTGCTGGATTGACTAGGAAACCTAGGAAAGTCATAACCTGGACCAAGAATATCATGTTCTGATGAAGCTGATTTTTCCCATGGATTCGAACTAGCTGGAGATGTGCGAACATAATGACTGGCGCTGTAATTCTGGTGAATAGCAAAGGTGCTATTGCTATCCTGAATGGAAAGACTAGGAATTTGTAACGTCAGCCATTGATTGCGAAGTGTAGATATATCCAAGATGATGTGTGTATCGGGACGTGAAGATATGCATCTGTAAGATCTAGGCTGATAAGCCAGGCTCCATTCTTCAACATCGACTGCAACTTCCGTATGGATTCCATCTGGAATTTTGGAGGTGGCACCAGATATCTCTTGTTGAGGATCTTTAGATCTATTATCATCCTCATCTCGGTTGTGTTGTTTTTCAGGACTAAAAACCTTTGGTGTTGTTAGACTCTTTTAG